TTCCTCTCTCCTTGCCCACTCCTCTCCCCTCCTCCCTCCCTCCCCCTCCTCTCTCCTTGCCACTCCTCTCCCCCTCTCTCCCCCCCCCTCCTCTCTCCTTGCCACTCCTCTCCCCCTCCTCCTTCCCTCCCCCTCTCTCTCCTTGCCACTCCTCTCCCCCTCCTCCCTCCCTCCCCCCCCTCTCCCTCCTTGCCACTCCCTCTCCCCCTCCTCCCTCCCTCCCCCTCTTCTCTCCTTGCCACTCCTCTCCCCCTCCTCCCTCCCTCCCCCTCCTCTCTCCTTGCCACTCCTCTTCCCCCTCCCTCCCTCCCTCCCCCTCCTCTCTCCTTGCCACTCCTCTCCCCCTCCTCCCTCCCTCCCCTCCTCTCTCCTTGCCACTCCTCTCCCCCCTCCTCCCCCTCCCCCTCCTCTCCTTGCCACTCCTCTCCCCCTCCTCCCTCCCTCCCCCCCTCCTCTCCTTGCCACTCCTCTCCCCTCCTCCCTCCCTCCCCCTCTGCTCTCCTTGCCACTCCTCTCCCCCTCCTCCCTCCCTCCCCCTCCTCTCCTTGCCACTCCTCTCCCCTCCTCCCTCCCTCCCTCCTCTCTCTCCACTCCTCTCCCCCTCCTCCTTCCCTCCCCCTCCTCTCTCCTTTCCACTCCTCTCCCCTCCTCCCTCTCCTCCCCCCCTCTCCCTTGCCACTCCTCTCCCCCTCCTCCCTCCCTCCCCCTCCTTCTCTCCTTGCCACTCCTCTCCCCTCCTCCCTCCCCTCCCTCCCCCTCTCCCTCCTTGCCACTCCTCTCCCCCTCCTCCCTCCCTCCCCTCTCTCTCCTTGCCCTCCTCTCCTCCCTCCTCCCTCCCTCCCTCCCCTCTCCCTCCTTGCCACTCCTCTCCCCCTCCTCCCTCCCTCCCCCTCTGCTCTCCTTGCCACTCCTCTCCCCCTCCTCCCTCCCTCCCCTCTGCTCTCCCTTGCCACTCCTCTCCCCCTCTGCCACTACCACTCCTCTCCCCCTCCCTCCCTCCCTCCCCCCTGCTCTCCTTACCACTCCTCTCCCCCTCCTCCCTTAGTCTGTATATTCTCAAAATGTACAATTCGTATATCACATCCCATCTGGGCTCTTACAAAGAATAAAAATATACTTATCTCTCTCTCTCGTGCCTCAAGAAGCACCAAGGGGGCGCCAAGCGAACCACACTCGTGTTGCCGTTTGAGTCGCAGCCTTTGGTTCGCTTACCCGTTTTCTGAAGAAAAGAAAGAAAGCGACGAACATTGGGGGGGTAAACTTACGAAAAGAAAATATGGCGGTGGTGTAATTGCAAATAAATATCGGTAAATTTGTAAATGACACGTAACGTCGATTTCCAGGGGATAACTTTATACTTCCTTGGGCCCAGCTTTTATTCATTTATTCAATAAAAAAAAACTGCTACACCAGCATTTAAGGTCATTAAGATATATTATAATGATACATCAAAGGTCATGCAGCACTGTGATAAAGTGAAAATGAAAATGTAATAATAAGATTGCCTACATAGCTCAGCATGCGAACAATGCCAACGTTTTGGATGCTTGAGAAATGCCTCGGGATGGCTGCGCTTTGGGAACTCCTATTTCTAGTAATTGGCTGAAATATACGTGTTACATAAGTTTATTGTGGTGTAATATAGAAATAGATATATAAAGAAATAAATTGAAACGGTAATAGTATTTTATTTTCGACATTAACCATAAAAAAGTAAAATTCCGATCAGGCGAACTTTTGGTTCGCAGAGCTGCTGCCACACACTGCTCAACGGCCAAGCAAACAGCCCAAGAGAGTGTTATGCGACAAGACTATAGCTTTTATGTACTCGTGTGTGTCTTGTCGCAAAATAATATAAATTAAAATAAGAGATTAAGATAAAAGTAAAACTTCAATAACCACTATGTAAATATACAAAAATAAAAATGCTCCAGTGGCTGCCAAGAACGCCCACAGATGGTGCTGAACCGAGGTCCTCGTCTGGACTCCCGCAACATAGGGGGGGGGGGAGGGGGAGGTACATCACGTCCATTACACTGCCACGCATCTTCCCAGCCTCTCGTCACGTCACCCATGACCCGAGTATTTGTTAAATTAAAAAAACGGTGATTAATACCTAACTTTTCCTTAAATATTCTTCACTTTCTGTAAGACACAATGTCGACTCATTTAACTGTACATAAAAGTTATTTCCTTGCATTAGACGTGCAGTTCATGAGTTACCTATTTAGAAACTCTGTTGCCTTAAGGGGAATTTGCCTTCAGCACCGCCGCTCTCCCGGATCTTTTACTGCTGTGTGAGGATGTATTATTAGTAAACATACCTTCTGATATCACTGACACTGCTAAATACAATACTTACGCCGTTTCCTTTGTTGAAAACTGTGCTACTGTTTCTCCGTGTGTGCTTTTCTGTTGTTCTTACACCAGATTTTTAGTAATTATGAAAGGAACCATGATTTTAAAACCAATGTGTAACCCATCTTTATCTATAACATAT